GGGTCACATAAAACGGGTGACGGGGGAGACAAAAACCAGGGTCACATAAAGACGGGAGACTGGGGAGACAACAGCCAGGGGCACATAAAGACGGGTGACTGGGGAGCCAACAGCCAGGGTCACATAAAGACGAGTGACTGGGGAGACAACAGCCAGGGTCATATAAAGACGGGTGACTGGGGAGACAACAGCCAGGGTCACATAACATGGGTGACGGGGGAGTCAACAGTCAGGGTCACATAAAGACGGGTGCGATGGGAGACAACAGCCAGGGTCACATAAAGACGGGTGCCTGGGGAGACAACAGTCAGGGTCACATAAAGACGGGTGAGTTGGGAGACAACAGCCAGGGTCACATAACACGGGTGACTGGGGAGACAATACCCAGGGTCACATAAACACGGGTGACTGGGGAGATAACACCCAGGGTCACATAAAGACGGGTGACTGGAGAGATAACACCCAGGGTCACATAAAGACGGAAGACTGGGGAGGCAACAGTCAGGGTCGAATAAAGACGGGTGACTGGGGAGACAACCCAGTGTCACATAAAGACGGGTGACTGGGGAGACATCCCTGGGTCACATATAGACGGGGGACTGGGGAGACAACACCCAGGGTCACATAAACACGGGTGACTGGGGAGACAACCCAGGGTCACATAAACACGGGTGACTGGGGAGACAACCCAGGGTCACATAAACACGGGTGACTGGGGAGACAACCCAGGGTCACATAAAGACGGGTGACTGGGGAGACAACAGTCAGGGTAACATAAAGACGGGTGACTGGGGAGACATCCCTGGGTCACATATAGACGGGTGACTGGGGAGACAACACCCAGGGTCACATAAACACGGGGGACTGGGGAGACAACATCCAGGGTCACATAAACACGGGTGACTAGGGAGACAACAGACAGGGTCACATAAAGACGGGTGACTGGGGAGACAACACCCAAGGTCACATAAAGACGGGTGACTGGGGAGACAACCCAGGGGCACATAAAGACGGGTGACTGGGGAGGCAACAGTCAGGGTAACATAAAGACGGGTGACTGGGGAGACATCCCTGGGCCACATATAGACGGGGGACTGGGGAGACAACACCCAGGGTCACATAAACACGGGTGAGTCACATTAACACGGGTGACTGGGGAGACAACAGTCAGGGTCGAATAAAGACTGGATGACTGGGGACAAGGTCACATGGTCACATAAAGACGGGTGACTGGAGAGACAACACCCAGGGTCACATAAAGACGGAAGACTGGGGAGGCAACAGCCAGGGTCGAATAAAGACGGGTGACTGGGGAGACAACCCAGGGGCACATAAAGACGGGTGACTGGGGAGGCAACAGTCAGGGTAACATAAAGACGGGTGACTGGGGAGACATCCCTGGGTCACATATAGACGGGTGACTGGGGAGACAACACCCAGGGTCACATTAACACGGGTGACTGGGGAGACAACAGTCAGGGTAACATAAAGACGGGTGGCTGGGGAGACATCCCTGGGTCACATATAGACGGGTGACTGGGGAGACAACAGCCAGGGTCATATAAAGACGGGTGACTGGGGAGACAACAGTCAGCGTCACATAAAGACGGGTGACTGGGGAGACAACATCCAGGGTCACATAAACACGGGTGACTAGGGAGACAACAGACAGGGTCACATAAAGACGGGTGACTGGGGAGACACTGCAGGAAAGAAAGGGTCGATAGGAAAGAAGACAGCAAATCAGCTTAGAAGAGTAGAAATAGAAGACACCTCCCGATTCTGCAGGAGGCCCCGCAATTAATGCTTCTTTCGTTTTTTTCCAATGAATATGCAGTGGGATAACACTGTCTATTCTACGTTTCTCCCATGCCCCATGAAAAGAAGACATGGAAGAAACAACATCGGAATCTGCAGAGGAGCCGCTCTTTTATCACCTCTTACGCCATGCAATGGGATACCTCAGGCCTTTTCTTCCTCGAACCTTCACTTTAATACAATAAGGACAAACGGAATCAAATGGTTAAGCGAAAGACACAAAAGAAAACACATTTCTGCAGGAAATCTCAAAATCGCTTCGTACGATCAAGCTATGATATTGAAATAAAAATTTCTTTTTTTTCGATTACATTGCAAGGTGTGATTGACTGGAGTTGAACACGATAATGACATAACGGTAAGATGATACCTTTATTATGAAGGCATTATAACAGCAAAAAATGTCAAGCCTGAACGTGTACATGGGAGTACACTGATAGAGTAACATCACGACCTACTTAGTATGTGTATCACCTTCAACCTATATCTGTATACCTGTACATGTGTCTAATGTAAGAACGATTTCGACATATTGTAAAAGTCGCAGTCGTTAGCTTCGGAGATTTCCTAAAGTAGTCAATTTCGCGAGATCTTTTTTTCGTGGGATTCATGTCTTGTTGAGATGAAACATAGTGCTATGGTGAGGATGGATTAAAATCCTACTTATTTTGCAGATTGTACCTTTCGATGAAAGTTGCCGTGAGAATTGGAATCCGGCAAACAATTAACCCTTACAGTACCGTCAATTATTTACATTTTGAATGGCATTAACTTTCGCGTTAAACAGACACTAATGCTACAAATGTCTGGGGTTCTTATCGAGTAAATAGTTTAGAACTGTTTTAGATAGCTTTACATTTTATTAATAAATAAAACACAATCAAGTTTTTAAAAGAAATCCTAATTGGCTAATTGAACCAGTGTTAACGAATTTGATCGTTCCGATCAGATGGCCATTACAGGGACTTCTTCTGATGTATATTAAGTTGTTAACGAAATCAGACTTCATCTGATTGCAAAAATCGGATTAATTTCACACGCTGAACAAAGCTGACTCTAAGACATATATCTTGATTTTGTTAAATCGTTTAAGAATCGGTTTTAATCGGTCTTGCTATTACTTTAATGAAGAATCGTTGTGTGAGGTGATATGTCAGTGTCTATGTAAGGGCTTAATCACAATAATGCTATGGCCTATACTGTGTTTGCATTCGGTCTTATCCGACAGGTTAACTTGGGTCAAGGCCCCGGCTGTGCAGCGGTTGGAACACGCTATTTTATGTGAACCAGCATGTTAGCGTTGCTATCCGTGTACCTAACAAAAGGTTGTACCCGAACGATCAGCAGACGGTCGATCTCAACGTAAACAGTAGACCAGTCAGACCGACTGTCTTGCCCCTCAAAAACAGAGTCATGGTTAGCTTTCATTCAAATTGACTACATTCAGTGTGTTTAATTCTAATATGATCTGCACAATTTTATTATATATTCTAGAATTCAAAGTCATTATAATTATATTTTCTTCAAGAAACACGAAATTGATTGTATATCCTATATTTCTCAGAAACATAGCCTACAAAAGCTTGCGTTGTTGTTATCCTGTTAAGCTGACTCACCTTTTAACAAATAACTCGGTAGTAAGACCACGTGAGCCACGAATTATTAAGAGACACGAATGTGATATGTCAACCTACAATTTTATTTGCAAATCCAAATCCGACAGCAGCTCATTTACCTTAGATTTAGGCAAATAGTATGCGTTGTCATACCTCTTACAGAAGCGTAATGGTTTGATTGGTCAATTGCCAAACAAGCCATGATCCAGACAAGTTTGGTAACTTTACAGAATAGTAAATGCGCTCTGAAATATTACCACTACATATATAACACGCTGTTTCATTGGTGTAGACTCTTGATTTAGAAACTTGGAGAACTATATATGTACTATGTGCTATCTACGATATGTAAATATTTGAACTGACGAAGCTGTTTTGTTTAGCAGTGTAGTAATCGTTATGTTGAGACATGACTTTTCTTGTATTGGTCGAACAATCATAGAATTAATGAAAATTCGAAATCTCAATATAAATGACAAAGTGGCCATATTCATCATCATCATCATCATCATCATCAAACTATCCGTACAATTGGACAAAATGGTATTTGAACTCGCCCAATAGAAGAACTCAGGATCAAAATGAGAATAATAAGTAAAAGAGAAAAAAAAAGTATGCCCACCTCGTTTAAGGTGTGATCACTTTTCTCAGCGTTGAAAAAATATAACATTGCCACTCGAATTAAAACGAGATTTAAATTAATATATATACTAGTAAAAATGACAACTGTCCATGTTTGTTGAATAATTTTTGTTCGTGGAAACAACACGCACATCGGAACATCCGCTCTAAGTATGTGTATACTTATACAACATTGTAGCCAACACAATTTCAAGGTAGATAACTCACTCGCTGTAGTGTTTCAATTCCCAATACTGATTTGAAACTTGTGTTTCTTTTTCTGATAATTTTATTTTCGCAGCTGTAGTTCATTGTTTGTTGTCCTTATCGTCATTTTTAGTTGAAAGAAAAAACTGCTATTGCAAATGTGGTATCTAATCACATTTTTGCATTTTTACCCCCCTTTTTCCTCATCACAATAGCTTTTTATCATTAGAACTTTCACACGAAGATGTACTATTTATATTCATCAGCAATATATATCGAGTTGCTGAGTGGATTTTGTTTTACTGATATAGAGGGTGATAGAGTATATGTCCCCCATTCATAGTTAAACATTGGTATTGAACATGAAACTATACAGCAAGCAGAAAAAGTAGTATCAACATCTGTTTATGTTTCATTAAAAGAATATTTGTTAATGTCTTAGATATCTATCAAGAGCACTATTAATTTTGCTGTACGTCTTTCTCAGTTGGTGTTGACACTTCTATCGCACAGTTCCAATTCTCACTCTTAATAACGAAGTCAGTACATGATATTTCTAACTGTTCTTAACTGCTATATTTTAAGTATAAGCGATAACTCTCCCCACATAACAAAGTTAGCCATGAAATGCTTTTGCCTATGTACACAAAACTAAAGTAAGCACCATTCGTGTGTTTGTACTAAAACAAAAAAATATTTGATTTAGTACACACATGTTTAGTATTTTGTTTTACATACCCAACAGGTCGCCGAAATCTGACATTTCCATGCTGTTAGTGTACATGTCAGATCCGGAAAATTGGTCCAGCATTTCGTTTCTAATTCCAATCAATCGTCAAGTTCCGGATATATAATAACCAAAGATATTCTATTTAATGAATACGCTGTCGCTCACATATACTAGATTTTTAACTAAACACATTTACTACGAAGCGTGTGAATGAGAGTGAACCAAATACTGGATAGGCTGAGACAAGATACAACCACACGAGTGAAAAATGTTCACGTGATCGGAGGCCAGATAATCGCGGTGTTGTGAATCTGGAGTTTACTCCGACAGTACTTAGTTGACAGTGTGAGAACGATGACACATAATCAAAAATAGCTATGTCGGCAACATGTCACGGTTGGATTTCGAAATATCACTGTGCAGGCAATCAGTCTATACGTAATGTTTCGTTAGCATTTCGTCACTATGATTTTTTTCTGTCATATGTATAGATATTATGTTCTGAATTATGACCTTAATGGATTTGCGGTGTCACAAAATGAGTCATCTCTATCGATGTTTCCAGAATTTAACTGCACCAAAGGTGTACGTACTTGCACTAAAATGGTCGACTCAATGATAAACCTGTCGGCCTTATTGATTAACTAATAGTATTGTCTTCAACTAACTAAACATTATGTAAGCCTGTTTTAATTAACTAGCCGATCATACCGACATCACGTGTATATAAACATACTGTCCGAGTTTGGCACGTGATGTGCTAACCTATGAATTGTATATACTGTCTATGGTATTGATTGATTGCTATGTTGTTATATACTACATGTACATTTTGTGCAGTCTCTCATACAAACGTATACAGCATTGACTTAACGCTGTACAGCTGTTTGGCATACTTTCTGTATCATTATTTTTTCGCAGTTTCATTTACGCTGTTTTGTTTTACACACTGTATTTCGTCGTTGATTTCGAACAAGTGATATTTTCTATAATGCACACAGCAATTATTTCGTGCAGTTTATAATGCAATGCATACAGCGATGGTTTCGCGCTTTCATACTTTACAAACTGAATCTTACATAAATTTCGTGCGATGTCATTTTACATGAAAGTATACAGTGTATACAGAATGTTTTTGCCCTTTTTTATTTTGCACACGTTGCGTATTTTTTGTATATCGCGCAGTGTTTTTTGATATTTATGTTTTTTATTTTACGTAGTATATTATAGCATTGATTTCGCGCTTTGTTGTTTAATCTTTGGAACACAGCATTGATTTCGCGCTTTGTTTTTTAACCTTTGGAATACAGCATTTATTTCGCACTTAGTTTTTTTAACTTTGGAATACAGCATTTATTTCGCGCTTTGTTTTTTAACCTTTAGAAGACAGCATTGATTTCGCACTTTGTTTTTTTTTACCTTTGGAATACAGCATTGATTTCGCACTTAGTTTTTTTAACTTTGGAATACAGCATTTATTTCGCGCTTTGTTTTTTAACCTTTAGAAGACAGCATTGATTTCGCGCTTTGTTGTTTAACCTTTGGAAGACAGCATTGATTTCGCGCTTTGTTGTTTAACCAATGGAATACAGCATTGATTTCGTGCTTTGTTGTTAAACCAATGGAATACAGCATTGATTTCGCGCTTTGTTGTTTAACCAATGGAATACAACACCGATTTCGCACGTTGTTTTTTAACATTTGGAATACAGCATTGATTTCGCGTTTTGTTTTTCAACCTTAGAAATAAAGCATTGATTATGATTTTTTGATTTAACAAAATTTGCGTAGCATTGATTTGGCTCTGTGTTGTTTTACATACTGTATAGTGCGTTGATCTTGCGCAGCGTTGTTTTAGCGTTTATGCAGTAACATTGTATGTTTTTGTTATTACGTTCAATGTTAAATTTGTGATTCTAAGATTGATGCTGGTATTAATTTCATGAATTTGTTAACATATTAATATACAAACAGTTTATGTTTGCGACAATTTAAAAACGGCAACTCGGAATATCTTGGTTGTCGCTTTGACTGAAATTGGATATTTACATTGAGATTTTTGTTATTTTATGTTGTGTCACGTTACTACTATTATAAAAGTATATAATACATACATATTTACCAATGATTATCGACCACTTTAAATTTGCTATTTATCATGAATACATATGTATGTATTATAATTTTTCATATTGATAAATTTCTACAAGGATTAATTAAGTACCCCACAGGTGTCGGTTTGTATGAATATTTACATGTCAATTATAATCTGGACTAGAGATATCGGTATGGATAAGTGAGACATCAACTTATGCCACAGGTGTCTTTACAGAAGTGGTTGATGCTGTATGTTGATGATTCTTGATTCTTTTATTTCATGATGGATATAATTGAAACCTTGTTGTTGATTTTTATCGAATTCTATAGATTTTTGTGTAGAACTTGATAAAGGTATCTTTCCCTCAGATCAACGTATTGATTTTTATTATATCGACATGTGTTAATTAATTTGTGCATCAGGACATATGTTCTCTGTCACCTGTGTATGGTACAGTACTTTATCACCTGTGTATGGTACAGTACTTTGTCACCTGTGTATGGTCCAGTACTTTGTCAACTGTGTATGGTACAGTACTTTGTCACCTGTGTATTGTACATTACTTTGTCACCTGTGTATGGTACAGTACTTTGTCCCCTGTGTACGGTACAGTAGTTTGTCACCTGTGTATGGTAAAGTACTTTGTCACCTGTGTATGGTACAGTTCTTTGTCACCTGTGTATGGTACATTACTTTGTCTCCTGTGTATGGTACATTACTTTGTCACCTGTGTATGGTACAGTACTTTATCTCCTGTGTATGGTACAGTACTTTGTCACCTGTGTACGGGACAGTAGTTTGTCACCTGTGTATGGTACAGTACTTTGTCCCCTGTGTACGGTACAGTAGTTTGTCACCTGTGTATGGTAAAGTACTTTGTCACCTGTGTATGGTACAGTACTTTATCTCCTGTGTATGGTACAGTACTTTGTCACCTGTGTATGGTACAGTACTTTTTCACCTGTGTATGGTACAGTACTTTGTCACCTGTGTACGGTACAGTAGTTTGTCACCTGTGTATGGTACAGTACTTAACAAAGACGATCGTAAAATATACACAGGCGACTTCACTTATAAAGCTTGGTAATACATAAATACACTGCCCCATACAGCTGTTTCGTCCTTCTATAACTCATTGTTGATGATAAGGGCCGAAGGGGCAAAGATCCCAATCGGTCCACACTACCGTTGAAACACACGGGTAGGGGCGTTATATCCCTTGATTACTTATTGATTGTGTGAAATAAGACGAGTACGGGCTAATTACAAAGTAACAATGAGTAAAGTGTGTATAGAATGAACTGCACTACCACTACATAAAAGAGATAAATATAATAAAAAAAAAGGTAAAGGCAAACCTCGAGACTAAGAAATCCACAAGTAGAGTCTACCACCTTTGTTCTAAAGGGACGAACGTAAAACGCACGCGTGTGATCGCAACTTGGCAATAAACAGTTTGCCAAAATGAATTAAAAAAATGAAAATAAGTATCATTTTACAAACCAAGTCATTATTATTATACATATAGCAATAAAACGTGTACAGTGTGAATTTGTAAAAGACCTCCTCAGACCTCTCTATAACCCCACTGCAAGTCTATAATACTGCACGAAGCCAGCTATATTTCTTCAATTTGACGAGGATCTAGGAAAACAAATCCATTAAATCCAACTACATGTACTAGGTTTTCTTATCAGTGTCACCAGTTAAGTACCATCTTGCTGAAATTAGGTTATTCTTACAAGATGGCACGACTCCCGATCAGGTAACGTTACGCAAAAAAAGGAGAGGTTCAAAGCATTGCGAGAGGGCAGTAACCCAATACTTGTCTCTTTTCGTCATCAGGACAATGAAAATCCGTCCAAGTTCTGCATAGGGTTCCATCTTAGTCACCATTTATGTTCATGCAATCGGCTAGAGGAGGTCAAATATTTTTTTTCTTCCTTAAACTTGAAGGGATGGTATATTGTCGAAGAAATGCTCAAGGCATGAGGGGGAAAAAATCCAACCATCAGCTGATTTTGCTAGAGTGCGGCATGACACTTATTTAATCTCAGTGATTCCCAAGTCATCGTATTACCCCATTTATCGCCACAGTAAAGATATGACCTGCATATTATATCAGGTCGATGAAGGTTGCAGGGTTTATCAATTTATTACAACAAGTACAGACTGTACCACTGCCTAAGGGACAGATAACACGTGACTAGCCGAGATAACACTTCCTGCCGCTATCGACCTGTTCGGTGTATCTCATTGTCAGATTGCAGGACGCGCGCGGTTAACATGGGATCACTTGCAGAATCAAGATTCTTCCTCTTTGTTTTTATCTTAGTAACACGGAAGATACTAAATAATGTTTTGAGGCAGCTAAGATTCTTCCTCTGTGTTTTCATCTTAGTAACACGGGAGAGTCTCACGGAAGAGACTAAATAAATGTTCTGAGGCAGCCAAGATTCTTCGTTTGTTTTTACCTTAGAAACACAGAAGAGGCTTAATACATGTTCTGAGGCAGCTGCGATTCTTCCCCTGTTTTCATCTTATTTTTTGCTCACCTAGATCATCCGCTGTCGGCCTGTTCGTGACAGCGTAAGGCAACATATTCTGGTAATATTTCACTATGACAACACTTGAAAACTGCTCTGATGCGGGCCTATCATCAGTGGACACCGTCACTACAATATTAGCTTTGAAAGGACGTGGAACCAACACTAAATAAACAGCGCTGTTTAACTTTATTTTTTTTGCATTTTGTAACACAGACCGAGCTAAACACTTGCTTCCCAAAGGTCGAATTTGAAAACATAATACGTACCATTGACGAAGCATCTAAGTATTAGAATTTGGTGAGTGCGCCGAGTGCAAACAGGTGCAGAGATACGAGCCAGATTAACACATATATATAACGCTCATTGTTGTCTAACAAAGAGTTATGTAGGGGATATCGCCACTAATCCCCGTGCACATCAAAATAAGAATTGTACAGATCGAAATAAGAATTGTACAGATCGAAATAAGAATTGTACAGATCGAAATAAGAATTGTTCAGATCGAAATAAGAAAAGCATCGACCGCTTAACTCAGATCTAGTTATTTTGTCTATGAGGTGCTGTTCAAATAATGGCGAAATTATCAATATAGAGATTTCTTACTTCTTAAAAAACATTTTGGGACTTTTGTCCGACCCCCAACTGTCGGATCAGAATGAGCTTTCAAGTTACCAATGCAACATGCCTTCAACATAATACATGTTTGTATTGTGAAAAGGAATGTTCTTTCTTCCTACACTGATATGTATCTAAATTGTTGGACGCGGTCCCTTTGATGTAAGGGGAGATGTCTGGAAGACCTTCAGCATAAACGACTGACTTCGTAATATCTTTAAAACTGCCTTTAAACGCGTTGAGATTGCTCTGAGAAACTTTCAATAAAT